AGAAGCTATTATAATAGCGGTAATTTTAAATTAATTAATTAATGTAATATCTTTTTTGTATACAAAAATTTGTTGTAGTATACTACAACTGTTGCCGTGCGTCCATTGTAACCAGCCTTATTAAGGCAATTCCTAACAGTTTGTGGATTAACAATTTTAGAAAACTCTTCTCTGAGCTCTTTGGTTAGTTGTGGAGCACTTATCTTGGGATCTTTTTTAATTTTTTTTATTATGCTACCTTCTTCCCTCGCAGAGAGTTTTTTAGGCCGTCCTGTTCGTGGTCGAATTTTATAGGAATCCGTTCTCCTAAATGGATTAACAATGTACTGGACACTGTCCAGTGGACAGTGGCATGTGACTTTCCAAGCGTTTTGCCGATTTTTCTAAAAGATTGGCCTTCTTTCCACATGCCTACTATAATTTTTCTTACACATGTAGGGATTTCCCGGTTTTTATCACACATATTGAATAAATTAATTTTAGGAAGTGACAAAACTAAATTATTTCGCTTGACAGTTAAATGACATTTATACGGAATATGCCTGCCTAGATGTAAGAGCATGAATCATATGCTGCATATGCATATGATACTAAATAGTACTAATAGTATCATGTGTAAGAGCGACTACTACATAGTTCAAAACATATTTTTCTTACTACCTCGACTCAAAATACGTTGTTTCGTCCCCGATTTCACGGCAGAAAGTTTACGTTTCTTGCATTGGTCAAGCTATACGCGCACACTCTAATAGCGGGAGTAAAAATTTTTTAGTCGTGTGCTTAACATTCAAATTTCGTACTGCCAACATGAGAAACACAAAAATATGACAGTTTTAAACCATAATTTTGCAATTATAACAACAAATAAACAATTTATGTTTTTACTTTTTTACTTTTTATGTTGTTTTAAGTGTTTAATGGTACTTTTATTTGTTATAAAGTAGTAATTTGTTAATTAAAATACAACCTTTTATTTTTACTGTATTGGCACCGCTGAATTACCATGACTACGCTACAGTTTGATTGATTTTGAATGTAAACGTCAGAATTAAATTAAACGTCAGATTTTAATTTTGACACAAGTTTTTTTATATACATTTAATTTTTTCCCGTATTTTCTGCGGGGTAGCAAGAAAAATAGTATACACTACACGGGCAGAAAGTGTGAGAGCCCTAAACTGCGCGCCATGATGCCCTCGGCTTCGCCTCGGGCATCATGGCGCGCAGTGCAGGAATCTCACACTTTCTGCCCTTGTAGTGTAATATACTATTTAGTTCCGGTGTATGGAGACTTTTTTGATGTATTATTTGCTAAAATTTAGTTGTATTAACCGAAATTTCAAAAGAAAACTTTTTTGAGTATTATTTTGATTTACTTCTATTTGGAATATGTGTTACTCATGTTTTGTATCATTATAACTCGTAATTTCAAGAAAAAAAGCGAATATCGTAAAATATTTAGGCTTTTTGAGTGTACATTGTATGTACATTTATTACATAACATGGACATCCTATAGTGTGCCAAAGTTACGTTATATGTACGTACATGGAACGTCCATATAATATTCTTGGACATACTATGGATATCCATTTGTACAGAGATGGATGTCCTATAGGACATATATGGACACCATATGGACGACTTTGTGCTCTATGCTCTATTATCCCGGACAACATTCGTGATAATCATACGAACATCACGTCGTGATTTTCACAAATTTTATTCATACTGATATCATACGGAAGTCACCGCGTGATAAATGAAAATCATACGAACGTCACGACGTGATTTTCACAAATTTTATTCATACGGACATCATCCGGATGTCACAGCGTGAGAAATAAAAATCATGTCGTGATTTTTTATGCCATCGCTGTTTGCGATTGACCGATGGCACAAAAAATCATGTCGTGATTTTTTATGCCAACAGTGTTTGGATAATCATTTTTGCGCCACGTTCGTACACTAAGAGAAAAATTATGTTGAATCAACAGTTTTTGCGGTTAAATACATTTAATATTTTCTTGGATTTAAATTAACTATATATATTTAATTTAAATCCAAGAAAATATTGAATGTTAAACTGTTAATTTAATTGTTAACATACTTTTTCTTTCAATGTACGAATGTGTCGCAAAAATGAATATCCAAACACCGATGGCATATAAAATCATGTCGTGATTTTTTATGACCAAACACCGATGGCATAAAAATACATGTCGTGATTTTTTATGCCATCGGTGTTTGGACGTTTATTTTTGCACCACATTCGTACATTGAGAGAAAAAGAATACCTACATATATATTGAATCAACAGTTTTTGTGGTTAAATAAAAACATTCAATATTTTTTTAAATTTAAATTAATAGTTAAATTACATTCAAGAAAATATTAAATGTATTTAACCGCAAAAACTGTTCATTCAATTGTTAACATACTTTTTCTTTCAATGTACGAATGTGGTGCAAAAATAAATATCCAAAGATGTCGGTGCACCGATGGCATAAACAAATCATGTCGTGATTTTTTATGCCCAAACACCGATAGCATAAAAAATCATGTCGTGATTTTTTATGCCATCGGTGTTTGGATATTTATTTTTGCGCCGCATTCGTACATTGAGAGAAAAAGAATACCTACATATAAATTGAATCAACAGTTTTTGTGGTTAAATAAAAACATTCAATATTTTTTTGGATTTAAATTAATAGTTAATTTACATTCAAAAAATATTAAATGTATTTAACCGCAAAAACTGTTAATTCAATTGTTAACATACTTTTTCTCACACTGTACGAATGTGGGCAAAAATAAATATCCAAAGATGTCCGATGGCATAAAAAATCATGTCGTGATTTTTTATGCCCAAGCAACGATAGCATAAAAAATCATGTCGTGATGTTTTATGCCATCGGTGTTTGGATATTTATTTTTGCACCACATTAGGGGAAAAAGTATACTTACATATAATATATATTCAATATATTATATTGAATCAACAGTTTTTGTGGTTAAATACATTCAATATTTTTTTGGAATTAAATTAATAGTTTATTTACATCCAAGAAAATATTAAATGTATTTAACCGCAAAAACTGTTAATTCAATTGTTAACATACTTTTTCTCACAATGTACGAATGTGCAATGAGCAAAAATAAATATCCTATAGGATAACATGTCCGATGGCATAAAAAATCATGTCGTGATTTTTTGTGCCCAAACACCGATAGCATAAAAAATCATGTCGTGATTTTTTATGCCAACGGTGTTTTGATAATGATTTTTGCGCCACGTTCGTACACTAAGAGAAAAGTTATGTTGAATCAACAGGTAACAAACTAGGTTTTAAATTCGCAGTTCGCAGGGCTATTACGCATGCGCAAATTTTTCAAAAATCACACCGTGAGTTCTACATGATATCACTGTGATGAAGCATGTGTATGCACTCAGGATATCACGGCGTGACAAAAAAAATCACGTTGTGATATCATCATGATTTCACCAGGAAATCCCGATTGTTGTCCGGGATTATTATGATTATCTACCTAAAATCGATTGTAATGAAAACAACTTAAATAATAATAAATTTACATACGTATTTTCTAAAAAATTTCTTAAAAAATTAAATCTAATCCTAACCGCCGCACAGTGTTTCAATTCTCGAAAATATCGGCAAAACCTAAAAAATTGACATTTTTTTTCAGGTAAATTTTGAGTTAGATGGGTAGTTAATACCTGTCTCCATCCCGTATTGAAAAAAAATTATATAAAATACGTATATTTTGTCTTGTACATCAGTTCACGCTTTCAGTTGAAGGTACTTAAGTACCTTAGCGTAAATTTACGCTGCGGAAAATTGTTTATTGTTTAAAAGTGAATAACTTGTGTTTGGTGTGTCCGATTGTTATGGGGTTTGATGAAGGGTGATCTTCAAGATATGTAAAATTCAGATATGTATTTGTTTTTCTTAGATTTTGCTTGTACAACGGGTTATCGTAACCGACAAGATCGGTCTGTTAAAATCGCAAACTTTGAATCGAACTTTTAGAACAATGGAGCTACAAAAATTGTAATGAATTGTAAGGCATCAGTTCAAGATCCGTTGAATAGCTTAGAGTTTTGTCTATCGCGCCATCAATAAATTATCTGCCCCAACTTGCCCCCGACTCTTTAAAACTACATGTTCTTGGGCGCTCAGGCACGGTTGCTTTACAAAATATAAGATTTTTTTTATTTCTGGGTTGCGTTCATGAAGTTTACTCGATTCACTCGGATTTAACTCAAAACGTTCGTGTCTACTAAAATATTTAACAATGATTTTACATATTTAACCCACCTCTTGTAGGTGCGTTAAAACAACTCCGCATGTGCATTGTAGTGTGTTAATGTCAAATTTGAATTGTGGTTATTTGTGTTGACAATTTTTTTAGCCAATCCAATGACGGAGATTGTTTAATAATATCATATAAATGTAATTTTAATAAACTAAATTAAGCTATTTTATAAAAAAATCTTTTATTTACATTTTACGAGTTTTTAATTAATTTTGACAATTTTTTGATAAAAATGTCCGCCATTTGAGGTCCACCATTTTGAATTTTGGAATTCTGATTCCAGATTCATTATCAGCGACCACAAAAACTCCTGTATGGTGATTTTCAATTTATTCCGTCAATTTTTTGACAAATATGTCCGCCATTTTGGATCTACCATTTTGAATTTTGGAATTCTGATTCCAGATTCGTTATTAGCGACCCCAAAACCCCTGTATGGTGTTTTTCAATTTATTTCGTCAATTTTTTGACAAAAATGTCCGCCATTTTGGATCTACCATTTTGAATTTTGGAATTCTGATTCCAGATTCGTTATTAGCGACCCCAAAACCCCTGTATGGTTTTTTTCAATTTATTCCGTCAATTTTTTGACAAATATGTCTGCCATTTTGGATCTACCATTTTGAATTTTGGAATTCTGATTCCAGATTCGTTATCAGCGACCCCAAAAACCTCTTTATACGGATTTTCAGGAGAATCCGACTACTCCTTGATATTTTGCCGAAAATTTCGAGAACTGAAACACTGTGCGCCGGTTAGTAACCGGAACACCTTGCATATTAACAAATGATATTTTTGTAACACGATAATTCTAACCAACGAAAAAATAACATAACCTTAAATGTCAAATTCCCAGTAAAAATAGTTTTCGGTGGAAGTTTATCATGTTGAAGCCATACTATCCAAAATCAATAAAAAAGTAATGTAACCATTTTATTTAAAAAAATGTTGCCGAGCTGTAGAATTTTACGGAAAACCCGTTTTCCCTACCGATGTGTTTCAAATGTCGCACAGGGGCCCACAGAGGAATTATTTGATGCTGCGCCCCCTAGACATGCAAGGGTGGTTGTCTGCGGCGGAGGGGCCATGGGGGCTTCTGTAGCCTATCACTTGGCCAAACTTGGATGGGGTAACGACACTATACTAATCGAACAAAACAGGTGTGTATTAGATGCTAATAACAATTTTTTTAACAAAAATTTACATCATACACATAAAAAATGATTCATAATGTGTTGCAATGTGTAAAAACGTGTATATGGTTTTTGTATTAAATAGAGTTGGTGGAGGTACAACGTGGCATTCTTCTGGACTGATTGGTGTATTTAAGCCAAGTTTTGCTCAGGTACAACTAACCAAATCCAGTGTGGAATTGTACAAAGAATTAGAAAGCCAAGGTTTGTCTACTGGATGGAAGGAGTGTGGCAGTTTGAATGTTGCCAGGACTAGAGATAGGATGACAGTATTTAGAAGAATGAAAGCTCAGTCTAAGTAAGTTCAGTTTATGTTTTTATTTAAAATTAATGATATATTAATTAATGTTAGGTCCTGGCAAATTCACTGTGAACTTTTGACCCCTGAACAATGCAAAGAAAAGTGTAGTTTGTTAAATGTTGATGATATTTTGGGAGGGCTATGGATACCAGGGGATGGAGTAGGAGATCCTTATGAAGTTTGCATGTCTGTTGTTGGAGAAGCTAAGAAAATGGGTAAGATTTAGATACAAAATTTTAACAATAAAAAATATTTTTTTATAATTTGATAATATAAATTTAAAATAATGAATTATCAATTTATTTATTAAGAAAGAGTTAACATAGGTAATACTAATAAATTTTAACAAGGTTTTTTAACTAACTATTAATTTTTAGTATATAATTTAATAGAATAGCATGGTTATTATAGTTGAATTTTTAAGTCATGAGCCCTACGGCAACAATGTCAAGCAACTGAATCAAATCGAGGGCAAAATCAGTGGCGTATCGTGGAGTTTTATTTGGGGTTCGAAATGTTGTATACGTATGCAGTCCATTATACACGTTTGTGCTTTGGGTTGCGAATCAAAATAAGATAATCGTATTTTGCCTGGCTTAAACCAAATCATAATATATTATGATTCGTTTTAACTTAAATCCTTCATTTGAACGTGCAAATTTATTAAAACAGTAACTCTTATGTAATTATATTATTAAATGAAACGTTGTAATTTATATATATTAAATTATTGTAATTTTAAATTATATAGTTTGCGTTACCCATTCTGCGTGAAGAAAATTAAGGGTACCTATTCTACTACTAAAAAATTCCCTATACTTTGCAAAATTTCAAAATATGTATGTTAATTAATTTGGAAATATTAATATTTGTATAATGCACAATGGTTAAGATATTATTTTATATAATCATTTAGTTGTGGAGATTGCACACACCAATAAGCTCAAATGGAGACAAAAATGGGACGTCTAATTTTTGTTTAATAGTAAAATGCAATATACTCTGAAAAAAATTGGTTTATTTAATAATTTAATGATAAATGCTCTTAACTGCATTAAAAGGATCTATTTTCATCTATTAATATGTTAATATTTATATATAAGATATCTTAATCGCTATCATCTTCCGATTCATCGTCGTTGACGTTACCAATGTGGATTATCATTTCATGACCATGATCATCGTCCAAGATTCTTTCTTTATTGTACCATTCCTCTATAATTTTTTCAGTGTGTGCTATTTTTGACTTCCATGATTCTGGAGTAACTTTTTGTAATGCCCGTTCCCACATAGTAAGCACTTTATCATTGCCATATGGCAATGTAGCCATCTTCACCAATATGTTTATTATAATAATCCTTTGCATCGGCCCATACCATTTCAATTGCGTTAAATTGACAATGGTACGGAGGCAATCTTAAAGCTTCATGTCCATTTTCTTGTAGCAATTCATCAACCTTATATCGTATTGGTTTTTTATGTTTCTTGGCTAAATTTAAAAGTTCTACTTTGAACATATCATTATTTAATGGTATATTATTTTCTTCCAACCATTCCTTAATTTTGTTTTTAGTCCATGAAACCGTTGGTTGTTTTTCCATTAAGACGCTATGGTAAGACGCGTTGTCCATTATAATTAGAGAAGGTTCCTGTAAATTTGGGATGAATTGTTCTTGCAACCATTTCAAAAAAAATTCTGAGTTCATATCACCATGATAATCCGCCAGTTTGGACCTCGTGGAGTAAACCAATGCGGCATCGCGAATAAAACCTTTTTCATTACCAGCATGCAACACAATGAAACGTTTTCCATCATAACCTTCTGGTTTGCGTACACTTTTTGTGGATGAGTCTTGCCAGGATCTTGTATGGCTTCCTTTAGCAAATATCCAAGTTTCATCTAAATTTAAATACGCAAATTATGGAAAATATTAAAAAATTCAAGAACACCAATGATGACAGGCTGTCAAAGTTTTGTAGACATTTGTGCATTTAGCTATCTTTGTCGATCCCATTATTATAAAAATATAAACATAAAGAACGTATGTTGTGGTATTATTAGACATACGTTTATCTATCGCTATATGCTACGTCCCAGTGGTCCTGCGGCGCGGAAATACAATACGAATGTCTGAGCTATATCCTTACATATATCACGTGAGGGTCATGATTAAAAAACCAAACTATAATAGACTCTCAACTTGAGAGTCTCAAGTTTTATAAACGCCATTTAAGTTACAAGTTTTATAAGGCACAAGCGAAGCTTGCGAGCGAGTGTTTAATAAAAACGAGTGTCTAGACAAGTTTATAAAACGAGTTGCATACTAGCCAATTTTATTTGTTAAATATTTGACATCTGTCAACGGATTTAACCTCACTTTTTCCCAATTTATAATAAAACTTCAGTCCGCAGTTTTGTGTTGTCTGCTGAAGCAGATAGGTTGTAGATGGCCTTTCTTGAGAAGACAATATGGGACTCCCAGCCAGGGACCCGGACCCCAATGAAATAACGGTTCCTTTCCGGAGAATCGACAAATTTCGGTTCGGGTTCAGTTCCGGTTCAAAAATATTTCTGTCCGGTTCGGACCAATCTTTTCGGTCCATACGGTTTTTTTCGGTTACAATTTTTTTACCATGCAGTTATAAATAAGTAAAATTATAAAATAAAAAAAAATGTTTGTAAATTTTTTTTGGCATGTAATTAAATTACTTTGTCTATTCTTTTTTTCAAATCAGGTTCTTCAATTTTAGGCTCTTCATTCTCTTTTTCTTTACTTTTATTCTGATCTTGCGATTGAAAAACTGGAAAATTCATATTTAAAATAAGTTATCCAAAAATAAAAAAAAACGGAACTTTAAACTTTTGTTGTTCTTTTTCTCCAAAAATTATGTTGGTTCTCACAAATAATTGTTCCTCTAGGGAAGTAAAAAATTTGTGACCAGAAAACAGCCTTTTAACGCTTACTTACTTGTGTTGCAGGTGTCATATGTATACATAATACTAGACAGCACTGTAATTAGGGTTGGGAAAATTTCACTTTTTGCTTGTACTTGAAATTTTCATGACATTTATGGAGTTTATTAAAATTTCCTAAATTTCTGAAGTTTCATGAATTTATGAAATTTATTGAAACTTTCAATAAATTTCAATCACTTTAATATTGAAAATTTCAATTTGAAATAAGCCCACTCGGGGACCATGGCAAATTGCCTCTCTTACCTCCTACCCCTCTGTGGGCCCCTGCACCAATAATATAAATAGTAAATACCTATGTTTACCACAAATTTCTTGAGATTTCCTTTTAAAATATGTTTAAAATTACTTGAAGAGATGTGCACTTTTTGGTAAGCTAATGAGATTGTGCCACTTTCATTGTTTTATATTTATATATATTTATTATTAGGGTTGTGGAATTGACCGGTCAAATTGTTTTTGGTCAATTGACCGGTCAATGGGGCAGTTAAATTTTTTCTGACCTATACTTTTTATGGTTTTATTTAAGGCGTTTTGTAATATTAAACATTTCTGTGAAATCAGAATTTTAATTGAGTTTACCGTTTTCGAGATATTTACGAAAAATATAAATTTTTATGACGTCACAAACCTCGCCATGTGACCAACATTCTAAGATTTCTATTGGTTGAAAATTACCCTGTTGTCAAGTTGTCTTGTTAATGATTTCATTCGGTTATGTCAGAAAATACCCGAAGAGGTTATGTACAAATACTGTCACTGTCAGTTGAGTGAAAGATGGTCACCAAATTCATTAAGTACCTATCTTCCTTATTATGAGGTATCATATTACTGTTTGATATTTTAGAGTCCAAGATATATCTAAAAGAATATAAAGAACTAGGCATTATACTAATGAAATGCATTTACGACAAAATATGATTATAATTATAGGTACTTACTTTATTTGTTTAAAAGCTCCAATGTTCAATGTAACCAACCATTCCACAAGATTTCTCTGCTTTGGAGTCCGTTATTAATAAATCACTTATCTAATATCAATTACAAATAACATAACAATAACATTGATTTTCAATAATCTAAATAATCTTTAAAAAAACATAACCCGAAAAAAAGAAACGTCAAAAAATCAATTCTTCTTCTTCTCAACTAAAATTATAGATCAAGTGGTTTTAAAACTAAAATATTATAACGTGGCGCCATCTATCGTAAGAATCTTAAACTAAACACACTGGCAACCATAGAAAAAGCTGGCAACGTTGTCAATAGCCTAGTGTAAATATCTCGAAAACGGTAAAATCAATTGAAATTCCGATTTCACAGAAATGTTTAAAATTACAAAACGCCTTAAAAAACCATAAAAAGTATAGGTCAGAAAAAATTTAACTACCCCATTGACCCTGGTCAATTGACCAAAATAAAATAAAATAAAATATCAAAATAAATATTACTATGATTTATGTGTGCTTAATAAATAGGTAATTATTAAATTAAAATTTTGTTTTATTATAAAAGTTACGTTTGTGCGGCTTTAAAAAGTTATGTTTCGCTATTAAAAAAGATATGTCCCGCTATAAGGGCAAAGCGCCGAGTCCGGCCTAGCAACCCCTCGACTCGGGGAACCACCAAATTGCAGTGGCGGCTCGTAGGTTTTGAAAGAGGGTGGGCACAAAAAACTTACCTACTAATTTTTGTACATAAAGTCCATTTTCCTATTTTTCATGCGAGAAAAGACTGTCTAACTGATCACGTAGGTATGTCTACTTTGCCTATGGCACTAAAATCCATGCATGCATTCATGTGAGAAACTGAATTTTCGTGTTTCTAAAAGCCCTCTCTGCGATGTGTTTTAAATCATCTAACCCATGTTGAGTCCACGAACTAATCTCTTTTTTTTTTTTAAATTAAGCACATAAAACAAAAAAGCTTATTTGTTACTGAACAACCGCATATCCACTCCTATTTATCATATATATTTCTGTTGAATACTTTTGTAAGTTCGGCCTTTACCTGTGGAAGTGTAGTTTATTCGAAGATCAGGAATAGGTCTTCCTTTTTCCTTAATTAAAAGTTTATCTTCATGTGACATCGGGCTTTTTAAAAGATTTTGCACACAATTTATTTCCGCTGGTTCCATTATTGTTAATAAAAAATAAAGTTTATTTAAAAAACAAAACACGTAATTCACAACTCAAAAAAACACAACAGCGCGCAGCGACAAAAAAGTTAGAAATCAAACCA